CTCCAGGTAGTGGAAAAAATACAGAATGAGAAAAAAAGGACAATAATAATGGAAAAGATTGGGCACGCAATCATTTTCCAGGCCAAAGTATCTCTATTGTTATATTAAATTCTCTCATCTGCAGGAATCTGCTGTGCTCTGACCTCAGCCCTTTCTGATTTCGATCTCTGTAGCAACCGGAGAGACCTGAGGTTAAGATACACACTTCTACTTTCTTAAAAGGTCCAAACCTTGCCAGGGATCATGATAAAAAGTGAGTTTCAAAGTGAAGTCAAGCATAGGAACTTCAAAAATAATGTTAAAGTTATGGTCTTTCAGGAACTTTTTAGACACGGTGGCTACAGCCATGAATATATATGTGTACACTATATGTATCTATATAGTGGGTGTACAATATATATATATACACACTGAAATACACAACGCACAAGTATACACCGACACACGCTGGAAAAGAGTGAATTTAGCAAAATGCTCTCTTTGACCTTCTTCCCATTAGTCAATGAATTCAACTGGAGTTTGCATTCATAAATTCCAATTTAGAAGCGGCTAAATCAGCCGATGGAGACTTTTTACACCAAGAGCCAGCAGGACCTGGCTTATCTGCCAGATGAGGTGTCCCCCCCTTCCCCCCAGACTCCTGCTGGTTGTGGAGGTGCCCTTGACACCATCCACTTTACGGAAACTATTCCAGTAGCCCGAGAGCCGGAGCTGACGCGGCCACCCGCTCCCTGGGCACTCTCCACCCACAGCTCACCACGCCGCTCTATCTGCAGCACCTTCCGGCCAAACCAAAGATAAAATAATGATTTATTTATAAAGTGGGAGCGTGGGTTGTTTTTACTTTTTAAAGGAAAGGTTCTCCACAGCGCGGCAGAGCACGTTAATGGAATGTAACTCCACGGCCTGGCAGATAAGGGCTTTTATTAAAGCTGACATTTGCCAAAGGCAGGAGAGCTAAAGGAAGGACGTCCAGGTCAGCCAGTGCTTCTCACTGCACCAAGATCTCGAGATCCTGGATTTCCTTACGGACCGCAGTGCTGTGTTTCTGCTGTTCTTTCTTTCCTTTGCTTCAGGCTGATTTGCAAATCAGGCTTTTGGCTCCAGCTGACTGTAATGGCTCTTAAGGAAAGCAGAAAGGATACGGATATAACATACACATGAATCATAGAATGGTTTGGGTCGGAAGGGACCTCAAAGATCATCCAGTTCCAACCCCCTGCCCTGGGCAGGGACACCTCCCACTAGAGCAGGTTGCTCAAGGCCCCATCCAGCCTGGCCTTGAACACCTCCAGGGATGGGGCATCCACAGCTTCTCTGGGCAACCTGTTCCAGTGTCTCACCACCCTCAGAGTAAAAAATTTCTTCCCGATGCCTAATCTGAATCTTTTTTCTTCCAATTTAAAACCGTTTCCCCTTGTCCTATCATTACGTTATTATTACGTTATTACGTAATTATTACGTTATTTAGCACTGCCCGTCTTCTTTTCCAGAAATCATCCATTTCACCTTTTTATTTCCGAGCTGCAGTTGGCCCATCTATTTTTCTGCCATCCCATCAGTGCAGAACTCTGCACCTATAAATTCTGCTGAGAAAAGATGCCGAGCATATGGATTTTTTTCTAAAAAACACGATCCTCAAATTAAATCCTTAAATAAACAGAACCTTCCCCTCATGGTAGATTGATAAAGACAACATGGGAAAAGTACTCCCACTGAGAAAGGCCGCTACTTGCCATCGATTTTGTTCATTGCCTTATCCTAGGAGAAGAAACTCAAGCTGATAAGGCCCAAACGTTGCCCAAGTAGGAATTTTCATCTCCACAACATCCTTCAAAGTGCTTTCCATACTCCCCCACCGTAAGATAATAAGATATGTCCCTGTGATGACGTACGGTGGTTGTCCCTTTGTTCAGAGCAACACCAGCCTGCCCAGCAGGGGAAGAGAGATATAGGTTCCCGAAAAGGTATTTTGGGGAACCAAAATCAGCTGGACCCACGGACCAACAGCCAGTTTACCCCAAGCACCAGGACTGATGCCCTAAGCTTTGAAGAAATGGTAGGATGATGTTTTCTAACCCAGCTCCCAGGACTATTCCTTGAAGGAAGTGTTTCCCCATGGAGTACATCTGTCACCCTGGAAACTTGAAAACTGAGCCTGGCACGGATGGGGTTACTTTGACAGAATAAAAGCAGGTATTTCTCATGACTGTACCTATTGCTTATCTGACACCAACGAGGAGTCCTAAAATGGCATCAAGACTATGCAACAATGTCACATTCTGAGGGCTGATGCATTCGGAGGGTCTCACAGGGAGCAGGATCTAAATTATCTTCATATTTAAAGAAATTTGCTACCAAAATACCAGAAAAATTACATTTTAATCTCTGTAACAACTTAAATAAATTTGTGTTTCAGACGAGAAAATATAGCAGAGCTGTAGAAAATGCTCTGTTCCCCTGTGCTGAAGAGTACTGCTGCCTTTAACCAGTATTCCTTCAAATGTTTTATGTCACTGTTTTATGACACTTAACCTCTGTGATGTGGGCTCACTCCTACCACAGGCACTTCCACCACATTTTCATTCATTTCATAGCTAGGAATTAGGTTGCCAACTTGTAGAGGGAGAAGGCTACGCACGAGCAGGCTATACAATACTCCAGATATTGTTGGCATGGAAAGAACAGCACACAGCGAGGAACAGATTTCGAGGCAATTTCTCTCCCTCATTCCACAACATACCATTTCTTTGGATTTCGCTTCGCGCAGCGGGACCTGACCCTCCTCTGCTCTCCATGAGGCTCTTGCACTCAATCCACTGGCACCAGATATGAACCAGGTTCAAGACAACATACACTGACCTTTTTTTTTCAAACTCTAATTTAGTACGAGCTCCAAGTTTATCATTTCTTTCTCATAAGCTCCTTCCTGATTCTCTTATTTCACAGATTAAATCTGCTTTGCTTCTACAGGAATGTAAATGTTCTCCACTGGGTAAAACAGAGATCCCTCTGCACATTTCTTTGGAGACGTTTCTCTCCAATGTTTAACACAATGTGACCTCTTCCTAAACAGAGCCCCCAACCTCCCACTACATGAAGTGTGATTAAATGTCTTTTGTGGTAACAGAGTTATAAGGCACAATTATAAAGTCAACTATTAAAGAAGAAGCCGCACTTTATTTTCACCTTTTCACGCTCTTTGTACCTGTGCATGCCAACGGGCAGTGAACGCTTAAAACAAAATTAAATCTTAGATAAAACCAATTTAATGTTTGATATGGCGCATATAGAAAACAGTGATTAATTGTTCTGTGGATATATGGGATCTGCATACAAAATAAGACAGGGCTATGGTATGATAAAGGTGCTTAGCTCAGGTGGAGTGTAATACTCCAAAACTCCTAGTCTCTGAACTAACACTTCTGACACACATTTGTTCTTTTTCCTTGTGCTCCAGATGATGCTGTGTAGACACCACCTCAGAGCTCAGCCCAACACTCATGGAATTAGAGGGACCGTTTGTTGTTACCTCTCTGTAACTGGGTGAGGCTTTTAGCTAGTTAAGTTGTGGGCAAAAAAAAAGCCACCCCAAAACCCTGCCAGAAAGAAAAATGGGAAAAAGGCTCCCAAACCTATTTTGTTTTTAAAAAGTGAGGCCATCCTGAGTAGCCAAGACAGTGAAATTCCAGCACAGCTCTCTGCTTTCTGTGCTCACACTGCTCTGCTGAGGGTTTCTGACCACCAAGGACGTGTCCCTTACCCTTACAAATTTCGGTAACCCCGAACTAGGTGGAAGCAGACACAAAATACACGTCTTCTCAACTCATTAATTAAGTCTCCAGACTGCTAAAGAGCACAACAGTCCCTGCTTCCCACAGCACCGTGAAGCTCTCCTCCCCAGACCACCACAATCACAAAAAGAAGTCTAAGTCTGAGCAAAGGAGTCTAAGTTCCAAAACAAACGCCGTTACTTCGTGTCAGGTACCTTCAAAAGGGAAGACAAAAATACATTTTATGATGTTCCATTAGAGGGCATCCTAGCATGTCCTTTTGTGGTCAGATGCTTCCCCTAATTAATACCCTCTGCAATACTTTGTAAACCATCTTCTATAAGGACAGTCAGGAACGTTCACATCCCCAAACTTTTGCACCCCTTGCCATCATATTAATAGTTTCATTTTAAGTTTTAGCTGGTACTGTATTTCTCTTCTAACAGTGCAGCTTCCCTCACCAGGAGAGGCAGGTTTTAGCACTGTTCTATGCATGTACAATCTGAATAAACCGGACACACTATCACAAAATTAATTTCAAACTTCAGAAGAGCTGAAGATCACACTTGAAAACAATAGGGGACTATAAAAGGTGAGCAAGTTTGGTCATGTGTCTTCAAACTAGAGGGGAAGATAAATGTACATTCTCAAAAGCTACCCAAGACAGAAGCTCCGCTGCCAAAATACAACCATGTGGCAAATGCTCAGACCCAGCAGGATACAGGGAGCTCTCATAAAAACAGACAGTTTTTCCATCCAGGTACTCAATCTTCAAAAACTCATTTCTAAGACAGTTTACTAATACAGCTACAGATTGATACAGAATACCGCTCATGACTATCAGTCCCCTTAAAATCAGTAAGAAGCCCCCAGGTAGTAAAATCTACTTATAGTGATAAATATTTTCCAGATTGGGCCGTGACATGTATGAAAATCAGTTTCTGCTCATACCTGTATGTACACTGAAATCACTTCAAAGACTGAAGGCACTAGAAGATCTAAAGGTAATAATATCGGAAATTAAGAAGTCTAGTGTAAGAAATAGGAGTTGACATGATAACATGAAAATACATCTAAGAGACAGATAATTCCGTTACAATAAATTACCATACTATCTGACTTAAAGTGGAATGTAAAAGTGCTCCTGTCACACAACATGAAAAATGAACTTCTGACTGCCGAAACGCAAGATTAATGAATCGACATAAGAGACATGAAACAACTTACGATGATCCTGGACTTGCTGTTGGCGGGGGACCTGGAAAAGTGACAGAAGAAAAACAGCGTGATGAGTTATGGGGAGGTAGAGAGCAGGAAGCTTTCGAAAAACCTTTTAAAAGATAAAAGCAGCAGTCTGTCATGTTGCATGTGGTTTATGCAGTTTAAGAGACGAGTCGCAGTTCTTCAGTACCAAAGACAAGACTCGTATCCTGGAGCAATGATTTTCGCCGTAGACGAGGACAATAACCAGGTGAGACACTCATCCTGCAATTCAAGCCACGGGAGGCTTGTACCAAAGCATGTTGTAACTATAACTGGGGGAAAATAGCATCATTTCCCCCTATCAATCTTCATAATTTATCAGGGAATTCTCCCTAGGCCTGATTTAGATGCATGGATCAAACGTGCCGTGGCCCCAGAGGGCTCTGGCTGGGAGGGTTTCGTTGTTCCTGCCCTCCCTGCTTCTATTTGGGCAACTACTGGGGGGACTGGGCAGGATGGAGCGCAAGTTCAACTACTGGGAGAACTGAAACAGATTTCAGGGACATTCATACGAATGAGTATTTGCTCCAGAAACTGAATTGAGAGATTAAATATCGCTCCAGTCAGAAAAAAGAAAGATGCTTACTGTTTTCAACAAGAGCACCTATAAAAGTATCATTGCTCAGATAAAAATCTCCTACATTTCAGATGCAGGCTAAAGGACAACAACTGCCTTATAATAGAACATCTAATGAGTAATTTCTTATTAGAATTTAGAAAATTTGGAAGATTTATGAAAAAAGACTATGAAACTCATCACACGGATCAACTGGATCTGGAAGTGTTAAGGACCAGACTGCAAGGGGCTTTGAGCAACCTGATCTGGTGGGAGGTGTCCCTGCACAGGACAGGAGATGGGACTGGATGGGCTTTAAGGTCCCTTCCAACCCAAACCATTCTGTGATTCTATGATTCATCATGTGTTTTTTTGTCCTTTTCCTAAGGACAGCCTGTGCAGAGATCTTCAACTCAGTGAGTTGTTTCCTTCTGAATGTGGAGAAGACACGCAAAACCTGCTTCTTGGTTGGAATCCTCTCAGTTTGAAGATCAGCTTTGAAGCCAGTTATCTTAATGTAAGCTTTGACTTTGAAGAAAACGTGCTTATTTTACCTAATAGGTGTGTGTATATATATGTATATATATATATCTTACTAACATGCCCTCAAACTATACTGCAAACTGCAATTTCTCAAAGAAAAGAGGCGAAGAGAGGTCACATAGAGACCAAAGAGACACAGGAGGTGACGTACCGAATTTCACAAAGAGCACACCAGTTGTAGAGACAGTCTTTCTGCCGTTAGTGGCCACACACTGGAAGTAGCCCGTATCCGTAGTGTCCAGGTTCCTTATTCGCAGCCGAGACCCGTAGCTTGTGGCACGGAAGGAGATCCTCCGGGGCTCTTGGACAACCGGAGCGTCGTTCTTCAGCCAACGGACCGTGGGAGGAGGATTGCCAGAGACTTTGCAGTGCAGCTCTGCCGTCTGGCCGAGGGTGGTGGTGATGTTATTCATAGGTTCGTCCAGCGTCAAGAAGTAGTCTGTTAGGTAAAAAGAAATAAAAAAGGGTGAATAAAGACCTCCAGCTCAAGAAATGTCATTTTAAAGAAAGCTCATGATCGTCTTTGAAAGGGAAACAAAGGAAGTGGCTATCAGGTTTAGTAGAAAATGAGAATACTTGTTAATTGATGTTTCAGGGCTGGCAATAGGTTCCACATAGTTTTGCATGGTAATAAAAGAAATAAAATTTTGGAATTTCCATTGCACTACAGTAATGCTGTATTTCTTGGAAACCTATCTTCCTTCACGCACCCATGGATTTGCTCTGTTTTCTCAACATCATCCTATTTGGCTTTATTTAACACAGAAAAAGGAGGTAACACTGCTGCTTTTTGTTCTTTTATTTTTCCTTTCTGCCAACCAATAAACATGAAAAAAATACCAGAAATGTGGCTGCTCATTTTGATGCCTCTGCCTATGCAGATCTGCTCCCACTCCCTTTAGGACCCACAAGATACAGCAATATGTGAAAGGATTAACTCAGAAGCGAAGATCTCGGAGGCACTTTCAATCAACTCGCAGAGCAGGGCAGACAGGATGTTGCCATTGATTTTGTAAGCACCAACTGCACAGATGAAGGAATAAGGATCACATCTAGGAGATGAAGACTTTTTCTCTCACTCAGTATCTCTCTTGCTGGGATTACTACATTTTGTCTGAAATCTGAAACAGGTCTCATGATAGGTGCAAGCAGAAGACCAAGAATTCTTTTGTCAAGACAGAGAATGTTAAATCAAAATTTTGCTAAATTAATCTCTTCTAATCCACTCATGAGTGCTGCCTTCTCCTGTCAAGTGCTATTTCATTCTGCACCGTCCAGGAAGAGGACTATTTCCAGTTAGTTGTATTCAATGTTTAATTAAATCCTTTAAAGGCAGAGAGCGAGATGGATTGGGTACAGGGAATGGAATATGTGGGCTTTCATCTCTGTCACAGGTTCAGACCTAACGATGGTCATTACTGGCCAAAACCCATTATCCTCTGCTGGCTGTCTCAGCAGGGCAGCCAAGGAATGAGGAATCCAGAGGCTGGACCCTGTTCCTGCCTCTCACGGCCAACCCAGGAGGTCAAGAAAAGCCCCTCAGGGAGTAGACCTGTGCTGTGCTGCTCGTGCTCCACCATTCTCAGCTACAGCTGCTGTCAACTCCAGCAATGAGCCTGCCTAAAAGCATAAAAAAAAATAAAAATCTCCAGCACGTATAAAACTAGCTTAGCCAACTAACTCACCTAACTAATTCCCTTCCCTAATTATTGACTTTAATCGTGTCTTCACCGGCTACTCCCTTCATTATGTTTCATGTATGTGGATATCCCTTTCCGTTGTATTTAATCTGTTCAGCATGTAAGCTCTTACCCTGGATTTGCACAGCACTTTTTGTAAAAGGCATCCCTGTTCTCACTTGGTCCCGAGGAGCCCTAGGATAAACGTTTAGCACAAAGAAACTGCCCACACATATTTTTTTCTTCACTGAATACCTAGTCTTCCAACGTGCAGGTATGAAACTGTGCAAAACACGACAGTTACCTACGCTCCCATGGATCTAATTAGTCAGGAAATCTGTGCATGGGGTAAAAAGGGCAGGGAACCTGGCCCTGGGCGAAGAGAGAGGAGAGGGTCCCGTGGCTCTTCGGGGGTGTCAGAGTGGCCTCTCTGCTCTCCGGCATCGTTTCTGCACGCTTCGTTGCAAGACTAGAAACGTTTCTGACTCGCTATCTTAATAACCTCACCGGGAAGCCTAATCTAAGTCAGCACACGTATTCTTGGGTTCTCTCCACAATCTGGGTTTAATAAAGTCACGGTAAGAGCATGGAACTGGATAACCGCAGTTAATTATCCCACGTAACATTTCTTTACCGCAGTCATTTATATAATTCCTGATAACGTTTCAGAGGCTGGCTCGGACGTCTACGCTATAACACAGCCAGGGAACGGAACGGCCTCACTCCTGCAATGGTCTTGCTGACAAACAACACAGTAAACACAGTATCATAGCATCATAAAATGGTTTGGGTTGGAAGGGACCTCAAAGACCATCCAGGTCCAACCCCCTGCCCTGGGCAGGGACACCTCCCACTAGAGCAGGTTGCTCCAAGCCCCATCCAGCCTGGCCTCAAACCCCTCCAGGGATGGGGCATCCACAACTTCCCTGGGCAACCTGTTCCAGGGTCTCACCACCCTCATAGTAAAAAAATTCTTCCTGAGATCTAATCTCAGGTCCTATGGTCCTATTTTAAAGGTCCTATGGTATCCAGGAGGGGAGAATAAAGGACAAAGGATGTAGGGTAGATTTTCAAAGGCTGGAGAAGGATTTTTAAGTATCAGTAGCAACATTAAGGCAGGGAGAAACTATGGCTGTAATGCAAGAGCTATGGGTGCAACTTCTCTATGGGTACAAACAGAAATAGCCTCTCAGCATCAGGAGCTGAGACTCTTCCCTAAGCGTTCTCCACCTTCCTCCACAAACTACTATAGAGACACCAAAACAAAATACATCTGTTAAATTCAGCATAGCTTAATCCATACATTTTACACCCAAACCATAACTCAGATCAAGAAGATCACCTGAGATGAGATATTTAAATAAGGCAAGTTTCAAGCAACTGGAAGCTTCATGAGGAGACCTTTCTCACAGAGAAAGCAGCTCTGTAATTACGAGTGAGCTGAAAGTCTAACAGAGCTTCCAAAAAACCTTGGACTGTTCCTGAGGCATACAAAATTACGAGCATTCCTTCCCTGGCACGCACAAAAGCCATCCATTGCTGCCCTTGGCCAGCATGGAAAGGCTGAAGAGAAGCCAAATTTAGTTTTTGATACTTGTGTCTAACTCTCACCTACCAAAGCCCATCAAATCTCCAAAATTACTGCCACCGTCCTCTTCCTTTAGTAACAACTACGCAAAGTCCAGGTTTCTGTCCAGGTCACCCCCCTGTCAGCCACTCTCTGGTGCCACCAGCATTAACATCTCCCCCTCCTGGGACCATAGGCCAAGAAACCTTGTTCCTGAGTAACATGCTCTGACAAGCTCTAGGCAATCCTGCTTCAGCAGGGGAGTTGGACTAGATCATCTCTATGGTCCCTTCCAACTCTAAAAATTCAGTGAAATTCAGGATAAATCCTGCTTTCAGCAGGAGGAAAACAGGGCTGGATGAAACGGGATGGACCCGCTGCTGGCACACACAATGAAGACAGTGTGTGGCACAGCCATGGTCTTAGAGCATTCCACGTTTTCTCTTACTTCATGTGACAGTCTCCCTGCCACCAAGGAGCTCCCCAGATGCCCAGAGCTGACTCCCCCTGACCCAAAGCATAATTTCTTAGAAACGGGATGGCTCTTGTGCATGAAGTCATTACTGCGCTTCTGAGAATTAACCAGTCTGGTGGCACTGGCCATTGGAAAGTCTGAGTTTTAATCCTGGCTCTGAATAGTCTTGGGTGAATCACTTCACTTGTGATTTTTAGAAGAGCCAAAGGGAAGTAGACACCCAAAGCCAATCAAAGCTCACATGGGATTTGTGCAACTAAGTCCTTTTAAAAACAGCCTTAAACCTTTTGGCTCAATCTCTCCGGCTATAAAGTGAGGATAATAATCCCTCTTACATCATGGGGAGGCTGTTATGTACATTAATGAGATAATGCTCGTAAAGCACTTTGAAGGTGAAAAGTGCTATGCTGGGATAAGCACTGTTATTTTATTTTAAGTTAAATCTCAGGGTTTCAAGAACAGAACAAAAGCCGGTCCGTATTTGAGAGTAGCACTCTATAAAAACAGTTTGGAAACGGTTTAGTTTACAGAAGTATGGGAGAATAGCCTGAAAAAGGTCTAAATAAAATTTAGCCCACCTATAATTTAATAATAGTCAACCTGATTTTTTTTTAATTTGTAAAAACAATTTACTGCTGGGCCTAGACCCTGAATGCCAAGTTTCAGCCCACAGAGATATTTTTTTTTTAATGGCTGAGTTATAAACCCTTGAAAAATGCTGACAGCCCCTTTGCTATAGCAGCACTAGCGGGTGCCCTATAATGAACTTTTAAATGACTTGAGATAATATCTGGAAAGCCAAGCCTGAAATATATTTCTGGTTTTGAGCCATTGCCAATGCAAACACAACACATCATAAGTCATCTTCGTGATTCTAAGCGCATAAATTGGAGACACTGCATATAAAATCCAAATATTAGGTATCCTTCGTGGCCAAACTTTTTTGCTGGTTTGATGTTACAGAACAGCAACAGCTGTGCAAGGACGAAATGTAGTGAGTTGCGTGTCTCGAAAGAAGAAAAGTGTGTGTATTTCCACAGCTACGTCTTGACATTGTTAAATAGGAGCCTGCCCGGTCGTAATAAATCCTCGAGCATTCTACTACTTTTAAGTGGAACCCAGGTGGCTTTCAAAATAAAAGCTCGTCCTCTCTGGCCAAGGAATGTTAATCTCCTCTGTGACCACATGGTTACTCTATCTTAAATTACCAAAGACACATCTTAGAGCAGTAACACCCTCTTTGCTTGGAGGAGGATTTTGCTGGCCACAGCGAGACCCTTTCCCCCGGCCAAGCACTGTGTGATCTGTGGTTCTGATTTCACTAGGTGTTTAAAGCACGATAGGGATACAGGATTAGACCCCAAAATGTTCATTTTATGAGAAGAATTGCTGTTTCATTTATCCTTTTCTTTCTGCCCTTCTGATCTTTCGGAATATTCAAAGAAAAGCTAAAATTAAAGTCTCCATTCAATCCATCGAGAGCCTGAAAACAGCTTTGATCCAGGTGCCACAGAGAGGCTGGTGGACCAAGTTTCTTCCCATTCTAGATGTATAACAACACACTCCTCTGGAAAGTACCATCTCCAAACCTTTTCTCAGGCAAACCTACAGCTGTGGGGACACTGTTTCCAGCTGCTGGGACAGAGAATAAATTTAATTCTGGAGCTGAAAATTCAGCTCTGGGTTGCAGCAGGTAAAGCAACCACCTGAGCTGGTTG